GGTTGAAGCCTGGTCACTCTCTCCCTCTCCTGTAGGGATATAAATAATACCCTGCCCTTGGGTGGGTTAGCGTCCTGCTCCCCCCGCCCATGTTTTTTTTTTCCTTAAGAAAACTATTATAACAAAATATGCAAAGACCTGGAGCTAGGAACCCAAAAAGGAAGAACACACTCTGTATTGAGCCAAAAAAATGAAGAAAAATTAAAGCTTCAAATTGCAATATTAAAAGATTATATGGGAAAAATATTGACTAATATGGGGAGCATCAAAAGAAGATTAAAAGAATACACAGAATAACTACCAGAAGAATACAGTAGGCATTCCACCATTTCAAGAAGTAGCATATGAGCAAGTGCCAAGGGTCCTAAAGAAAGAAGCCCAAGCTTCACTGGGGGTATTAATGAAAAACAGGCTCCAGGAGAGGACAGGAAACCAGTTGGAACATTTCAACAAGCTGATGAAGCACTCACACACCTAGGTCAAAAAAATTGGAAGCCACCTTCCTGGCCAACTGATTGGAAGAAATCCACATTTGTACCCAATCCAAAGAAAAGTGACACAATGGAATCCTCAAATTATAGAATAATATCATTAATATCACATGCAAGTGAAATCCTGCTGAAGATCATCCAACAATGGTTGCAGCAGCATATTGCCAGGAGCTGTCAGAAATCCAAGCTGGATTCAGAAGAGGACTTGGAGTGAGGAATATCATTCGTTGAAAGCAGAAGATGCCATAAAAACATTTCATTGTGTTTATTGACTACATAAAGGTATTTGATTGTATGGATCATAAAATTATACATATGGATAGATTTTCAAATAGTGAGAATTCCAGAACATTTTATTGTGCTCATGCAGAGCCTGTACAAGGACCAAGATGCAGTTGTGGGAACAGGACAAGGGAGTACCGCATGGTTTAAAATTAGGAAAGATGCGTGTCAGGGTTTCATCCTCTTACCATCCTCATTCAATATGTATGCTGAGCAAATAATCAGAGAAGATGGACGATCTGAAGAAGAAAGGAGCACCAGGGTTGGAGACGAGCTTATTAACAACCTGTGATAGGCAGACAACGCAACCCCATATGCTGAACGTGGGGAGAACTTGAAGCACTTGTTCATGAAGGTCCAGGATTGCAGCCTTCAGGATGGATTACAACTCAATGTAAAGAAGACAAAAATCCTCTCAGATGGACTAATGATAAATGGAGACAAGATTGATGTTGTCAAGAATTTCATCTTGCTTGGACCCACAATCGGTGTTCCTGGAGGCAGCAGTCAAGAGATCAACAGTCACATTGCATTGGGTAAATGTGCTGCACAAAACCTCTTTAAAGTGTTCAAAATCAAGGATGGTACTTTGAGAACTAAGAAGTACCTGGCTCAAGACATGGTATTTTTCAGTTGCTTCAGTTGCAGGTGACAGTTGGACATTGAAGAAGGAAGACCGAGGAAGAATCACTGCATGACCATTAACCTAAAGGTTGGCAGTCAAGCCCATCCAGTAGGCCTGCAGATGAAAGGCCAGGAAATTGTTGTTGCTCTCGTTTCTGTTCGGTGCCATCAGGTCTGTTCCAGTTCATAGTGACCCTGTGTACAAAAGAACAAAATACTGTCCGGCCCTGCACCATCCTCGCAAGTGTTCGTATGCTGGATGGAGTCCATTGTTGTAGCCACAGTGTCCATCCGTCTCATTGCGGGCCTTCCTCTTTGTTGGCTGCCTTACCCCTTTACCAAACATGAGGTCCCTCTCCAAAGGCTGGGGCCCCCCTACTAACAAGTCCAGAGGACGTGAGGTGAAGTCTCTCCATCCTTACCTCTAAGGAACATTTTGGCTGTACTTCTTCCAAAGTGAACCTATTTGTTCTTTTGGAAGCCCCTGGAACCTTCCATATTCTTTGCCTCCCCCACAGTTAAAATGCATTGATTTTTCTTTGGTCTTCCTTATTCAATGTCCATGTCTCACATGTGTCCAGGGCAACTGAAAATACCCTGGCTTGGAGCAGGGGCACCTTAGTCCTCAAAGTAACATCCTTGCTTCTCAACATTTAAAAAAGTTCTTGCGCAATAGATTTACCTCCTCAGAAGCACAGTTTGACTCTGCTCTGTAATGCAGGCATTACCCTGAGTCAGAAACTACTTGGCAGCACCTCACTAGGTTAGATTTCAGGGTTAAAAGAAACATCAAACAAATGTTTCTAGAAATACTTCTAAGTCATGGGTATCTTTTAGACTTTGCCTTCATATTCCCTTTTAAAAGAAAAGAGACACTCAATTGACACACACCATTCCTGGTGGCATTGTCTCTATTTACTTGGTGAGAGAGAGAGCATGAACAAAAGTAGGGAGGGTTATGGGGACCATTCCTAGACCCACTGTTGATTCAAATGAACATTGGAGCCTGTAAATTTTCAACTGAAGAATATTCTTCCAGATTTTCTTTACTTGCTTATCCAACACATATGATTGAGCTCAAGCTAAGTCCCAGGCTGGTCTGAAAATGAAGTGAGGAGACAGGAATGGAGAAGACATAGTGCCTGGCCTCAAAGTGCTTGGAAAGGCTTCAGAGGGTCAGCCATTAGAAACCACCAGCTGCTCTGGAGGAGCAAGCAGAGGCTTTCTCTTCCGGGAAAGATTATAGTCACATCCCAAACCCACCTGTACACAATGGGACATCCCCCTCACAAAAGGGTCGCAAGGAAGGGATGAGTCAACCAGGGTGCAGTTTAGCACTGATTAAACACACAATATTCCTCTGGTTCCTTGAGGCTTCCTCACCCCCCACTATCATGACCCCAGTCCTGCCTTTCACTGCTAGCTAGACCGGAGCATGTACACTGGTACAGATAAGAGCTCAGGACACACGGAATCCAGGTCAGATAAATCCCTCAGAAACAGAAATGGGAGTAGCGGTACCCGGAAGGTAGGGGGAAGGTGGGGAGAGGAGGGTGGGGGAGAAACCACGGGGGAAGGAAGACAGTGGCGGGTGGAAGATATGAAATTAATAATAATTTATTGTTTATCACGGGACGAAAGAGTGGGAGGGGGGCAGGAGGGTATAAAGAGGAGCTGATACCCAGGGCTCAAATAGAATGTAAATGTTTAGAAAATAATGATGGCAACATATGTACAAATATGCTTGATACAATTCATGATGTTATAAGAGCTGTAGGAGCCCCCAATAAAATGATCTTTAAAAAAAAATTTACAGTCTCAGAAACCCACTAGGGAAGTTTTATTCTGCCCTTGAGGGATGCTGTGACTTGGAATCAACTAAAGGTTAGTGAGAAGAGTCTGTCGGAGGTGGATTGACTCCGTGGCGGTTAGAGTAGAAGAAGGATTAGAATCCACAATACAGTGTTCCCAAGTGGCACAAACATTTCATGTGCTCACTGATGACAAAAAGGTTCCAAGTTCATGCCCACTCAGGGAACCTCAAAAGGCCACCCCAACATTTTTTTTTCATTCTAGGAGGCCAAAAGTACTGAACATTCTAGGGAGCACAGTTTCACTCTGCCCCCACGAGGTTGCCACAAGTCCCAATCAAACGGATGGCAACAGGCTGGCTTTGGCTTTCAGATCTCTCTGTAACTTGTATACTTACAGCGAATCTCAGCTTCTTAGCGTCAGATTTAAGGACAAGTAGGACTTGCCCTTCAATGTGATGTAAATCCCCTGTCACTTTGAAACAATGGATGGACGGCTACTGGAAACAAAGTCTTCATCACGATCACCCTTCCCTGTTGCGCATGCAGCTTTCGGCAACTGCGCAGACTTGAACCTTGTCTGCAGTAACCCTGCCCATTACCATCAAGGCCAGTCGGACTCATAATGACCCTGTAGGGCAGAGCAGACAGCTCCTTACAAGGGTTTCCGAAGCGGTAAATCTTCCTCCTGAGGCACGGCCGATGGCCACCTGCGCAGTGATAGCCCTATGCATGACCAACACATTGCACGTGTCTGATACATACCTGCCGCACAGATATCAACAATTATTATGAATGGTCATAAAACCTTACAGATAAAACCTGATAAAACAGAAGTCATACCCCTTCTCCTACAAAGTGTCATTTTTGCTTTTCCTTGTTCCTTCTCCTCCCACAGAGGCCCTCTGCACCAAGGACAAGTTGTCGGCCAGTTTCTGCCAGACATTAAAATCCATGAAGAAGTGCTCCGTGCCCACTGTGAGGGCTCAGTGCTGCTCCACCTGTCCCCAGACTCACGCTGTGCTTCCCCGAAGGCCAAGGCCGCACCGGTCACTCCAAAGCCCCACCTCGCTCTAGGTCCTGAAGGGAGCCACCCTCCCCCAGAAGCTCGAGCGTACCTGGTCTGGTCCCAGAGGCCACTTCCTTGAGGTTCCAGTTTACATACCTTCGAGTTAAGTTTGGTTCATGAAAAACAACAACAAAAAACAGACCTGTTGTGCTCAAAATGCCCTCACAGGAGGTGTGTGACTCAAACACTGCTGGGTGCTTTTGCTCCAGAAGTTTTATACACAGACTGCTCTATCTAAACACACACACACACACACACACACACACACACACAAATAAATAAATAAGCCAATACCACTGAGTCTGTTCTGACTCACAGTGACCGTACAACAGGTCGAGCTGCCCCTGTGTTTTCTGAGACACTAAAAGCACAGTGGCCCTCCAGCCAATCCCCAAACTGAAAGGACTCTCTCTCCCACTGTCAGGATGGTAAATGATGTCAGAGCACCTGGGAAAGGGTGACAACTACAGCAACTTTGTACACACGTCTGGTCCCGAGGGGATCCAACCCCCTAAGAAGCTAATGATAGCCAGCTACCAGGGCACCCAGCAGTGACCTATCAGGCTTTGGGGTTTGGGGTTTTCACTTCTTTTCTTCTTCCTGATGACTAACAGGCAAGTCAGGGGAATCTGGAAACCTAAAATGGAAGTGGGAAGGTCTGTTCTGGATGTTTCCACCATCCCTCAGAAGCCAGGGTAGACTCTGGTCTCAAAGGTAGGGCAAGTTCCCAGGCAAACGGGCTGCTAAGGGCAAGCTCAAATAGGAAGTAAAGCTGGGGGGAGAGGCCTTTAACTTCTGGATGGACAGAGAGTATCCACGATGGACACAGGGGAAAGCATGGGCTGGGCCTTTATGTAGTGGGCAGTAGATCTGTCTTCATATCCATCCACAGGTACACTTCCTACGCATCACAGAGCACCAGTAAGTATCTCACAGTCCCGTCATTACAAATCCATTCAGCAGGATGGTCCTATTGATAAAAAATGGTGCTACTATTTAGGTGCTGGCAGTTTGAATATAAACATATAGATAAGAACTACTATAAGCATACAGATAGATGAACTGGGGGAGCGAGTGTTTGTATGTGAGACTGCACAGATATCCACTCTCTGTTAGATATGACATGGTGTTGCTGGCCAATGCCAATTCTATTGCTTGGGTACCATAGGCTTAACCCTCTTCATGAGTAAATGATTTTCTACTTTTTATTTTTTTGCTGATCCAGTATGTTTCCAGTAACAGCATGCATTCTAACATCAATGGGAGTGGGGAACTAAAGTGATGAGTGTGGATATATGGGACACCTATGTTCCAAGTGGAGGCTGATGGTAGGGCTCGTGGGAAGTGAACTGTTTCTCATGATCCATGGAGTTACACCGGTCTCCACCTGGTAGTGGCATGCACTCTAAGTGGGGGGTAGTAGCTTCATAAGAAAATCTGAGAGGCTGGAAATGTTGGTGGGCAATATGTGTCCCACGAGTCCCCCAAAGGTTAAATTTTATATCATGTTCCCCTCCCCTCAAGCCACTAATGTGTATTACTCTGCTGAATTCCTGAAATGATACACTAGGATTGGGATGAAATTCAGTGTAGGACAGAAACAAGATGAAAGTAAAAACGTTTGCCTTTTTAGAACCAGGAGATTCACTTCTAGATAACAATCACATTTTTACATTCTCTGTCATTACGTGTAAACATTGCTGGCCGATGGCAAGCGCTAGTGCAACACTGTCTTAATTGAGGCGACACTGTTTATTTAGATTGGTCATGATACAAGTGCAGGAGAACCTGATGTTTTTCTAATGAAGCAAATTTGTAGCTTGTCCCTGGAATGTGGATTTTCGGGGGGTGTTATTTTATGAACTGCATTGCTTTAACCTAATCTAGTAGTGAACTATCCTAGGGTCAAATATATGTCACCAGAGACTGGGGTCTGGCCGTGCTTCCATGTCTCAGGAACAAATCAACATGCCTACTGACCTCAGCACAGTGCACAAGGCCAGATGCCCAACACACAGGGTGCTTCTTGTTATTTCTGACCCACATGGTGGTGGGTTAGGTAGTCAACGTGTGAGGAGAGTATGGCCAGGTGCTTCATCCTAGGTCTTTCCCAGTTCCTCTAAGGTAGAAAGCTGGCCCTACATCAGATGCCATGCACGGTCACATCCTACCCTGAGGCTCTGTTGTGAGATAGTGCTAAGGCAGCCCTTGCTATACAGCAGTCTGGCACCCTGCTTGTTGCCTTGACAACCACTCAGCTACGAGTCCTCAGTGTGTTGGCAGGTCCCAGTGGTGACCTGAAAAGGGACCCTGGTCAGCAGAGGAACTGTGAAAGCCAGAGCCTCAAGGGGGTCTTTGTCATTTCTCTGATGCTCTCAGGGACCAACACGAAGCAGAATTGTTGGTTTACTTCATCCCAGTTCCTCTTTCTTCCCACTTCGAATGAGCAAGTGGAACTAAACTAAGACACACTGGATACAGGCCTAAGATCGGCCTGAGAGGACTGTCCCAGGCCTGGTGCTTAAATACATTGTGCTTCTAAAACCCAGTTTGGTTTGCGTTGCCTTTCCCAGGGATCGAGTTATCTCTTCACTGAAGCATTGTGGACTCATTTAATTCTTGAACATCTAAGCTTCGTTAAAGCACAGTATTTCAAGAAGCTTAAGAGTGAATACTTTTCTGAAACGGCAAGCCACTTTCCTGCTATGAAGCGTTGCCTCCGTTTGTAGGAATGCTTTAGTTGTGGACACATGAGAACCGACCCCCATCCGATGTCCTGAGACATCCAAATCTCCCAGTGAGAGCAATGTGATGCTTTCAGCTTTTCAGTGATGTTTTTGTTGTTGTTAACTCCTTCGACAACCACTTGAGGGCTTATATTGTTTCAGACCCATAAATTCCCTTTCCATCACTTGACATCCTCAAAATGTTGAAACCTGCCCAACTGTTCCCTAGATTACCTGGTGCTCTGTGCGTATCATTCACTTTCAGGGGAGAGACCACATTGGCACAAACTGCCTGGTGCTGCAACCCAGCCAGCATATACTACTCCTGTTGTTTTTATTACTCATTCGTGTTTTATTGTTATTATCAGCATGGCAGGCTGCCCCCGCATTACCAATGAATGGTTGTCTTAGTAGATCGTATATAATGTACCTTTCTATGTATAAAAACATCATTCAAAAAACACTCTGGATATGCTAAAATATTAATATTATAGTCATCATCATCATCATGTTTTGAGTCACAAAATAGCACCTGTTTGTTAGTATGAACCAGTGTATGTACCTCTATTGTTTTTAAATAACTGGCTGTACCGAGAGTGGTTCCTAAGTGCAGGTTGTACGTAAGTTGGATGTTTGAACATAATTTGGGGACTGTCTGTATTATTATTTTAAGATCTGTCAATAAAAAAAATTACAATAACAGGTACAGGAAGCCCCGTTCTCCCTGTCACTGGCCTCCATCGTGGTTGGCGGCACGGTGGCCCAGCCCTGTGTGTCACAGCACCCTCCTTACCTCCATGAGCTGCTTTGTCAGCTGGCGGCCTCCAGTCACCTCAGGGGGTATGGATTCCAGTGTCTTAAACCAGACTGCCATAGCCTGCAGCAATAAACGGCCAAACTCATTGATATTCCCACGTGATTCATTTACCCCTGCTGTGAGCCTCCCACCTGCCAGCAGTGCCACCCTGCAGCTTAGCAGCTTGGCGAAGGATGCTGTCAGCTGCTTCCTCCCAAATCTCCCCACATACCCTCCTACTCCACACCTGCGTCTGGATGTCACCAAATGAATCACACAGAGGTGAAGTAAAACTTGGGTCACTTCTCATGAACAATTGTGCTGTGATGGACATAACTGACCATACGATGAACAAGCAGGTCGGTCTTGGAAGAAATACAGCTAGAATGCGTCTTAGAAGTGAAGAGAGCCTGAATAGTGACAGCCTGCTTGATGGGGTGAAAAGGAGAAAGACGCTCAATGAACAGAATTGACACCGTGGCTCAAAGGCAAAGGCCTCAAACACAAGAGTAATTCTGAGGACAGCACAGGCCCGGGGGACGTTCTGTTGTGCTTACGGCCACTGTGAGTCAGAACCAACTAACTCAACAGCACCAAGCCCATGGGTTAGATGTCAGGCTGGAGGCTTCTCTCGACTGTGTAGCTGGAGGGGCTGATGATTCCAAGATTAACAGGCCCGGCATAACTAGCTTCTGGCTGCAGAGGCTAATGAATCCAAGATTGGCAGGTTACGGATGACTTCTTCCAGGACCAGCAATATGGCAGGCTGCCGACTCAACTCGAAGGAACCAGAGGTCAGAGGACAACTCAAACACAGGTTCCAACTCCAGCAAAAAGCAAACAAACCTGTTCACTGATTCATTTAGATCGAAAGCAGGCCACAACCCTAAGGAAACTTCCTTTCAATTGAACGCATCAGGGCTTTGATCTGAATAAGGGTATTGCATCCCACCCTAATCTTCTCACAACTGATTAGCTTACCATAGTAGATCCCATTATGGAGGTGCTTACATTGTGTAAAGTCACATTGTGGGGTTTGGCCAGGTCTTTCAACTGCCAAACCGCGGAGAGCCCAGTTGACACAAAATCTGCTATCACGGGTGCCATCGGCCAGATGGGAATAGCAACTTTAATCATGGTGAGGCTTAGCTTGGGCACATGTTGAAAGGGGCTTTCTTACCTTTGCTCATGCCCTCACCCTCCTCAGGGAAGCAGCCAGGGAATTCTAGGCCTCTTGCCAGAGGCACTCAGAATTCCATGGCCAAGAATCATGGGGAGAGGATGGAAAGGTGAGAGACAAAGAGAAGAAGAGATGAGCCCATTCCTAAGCGATAACTCCACCTTTTACTTCTGTTAACTGAAGTATCAGTGGGAATCAAACTTTCACTAGTAATAGTATCCCCTCCTGTCCTAATAGGAATATGTGCTATAGGGGACATCGAAAATATTCTAGTTGGGGTATCCCAATATTTTCCACTCTGGGAATAAAGTCCTCTTGCCTCTACTGCTAGGTGGGGGATAAGAAAAGTGTGAATGGAAGGGATGCGACAGTGGAAGGAATGATCTTAAATTGGCTTCTTTCCCCAAAATTTTAAATGATAATGTGATATAGTTAATATCTGAGGGGGGGGGAATGTCAAAGCACGCAAAAACCAGAGGTTATGGGAGGGTGTGCCTGTTCTCTCTGCTCACATCCTACCAAGCACTGGCCAATGTTGTTAATCTATGAATCT